AAAAAAAAAAAAAAAAAAATTCAAGTGCTTCAACTTTAAGGACACCAAAAATCATATTCCCTTACAAAATTAAAATAATTAGTAAGAACGATACTTTTAAGATTTGTCAGTCAACAAAAAAAACACAAATGTATATACAGACATATACACACAAACGTACAATGTAATTATACATACATATCGTTACCTTAATATAGAAAGGCTCCATCTAAAATTTGTGTGACTTTACTGAGTATTTACGAAGCTTTAACTGTAAAAACTAAAGATTTTAATTTGGAAATTTCTAAATGTTTTCAAATTCCATTAGGCCTTTATTGAGATCGGTAGACTTTTGTAAAAGACGAAAAGAAAATAAGTTAGCATCTTTTCCCAATAAGGTTACGATATGAATGATACCTTTTTACTACTGAAATACATGTTATGAATTTTTGTTTAGATCTAGGAGTGTTATATGAAAACATTATCCCCCGGCTGGATCATAAGAAGAATAACGGTGAATCATCAGAAGAATAACGCGGCCATAATAAAGGTCATGTGGCCCATAAGTCACATGTAACGGCTCTGGTGTATTCGCCAGTTTTTCATTTATGTTCGCTAAATGGTGGTTGTATGCAGGGTCTTCGATAGAAAAAATGTTAGATCTATAGCTAAAGTCATAATTTTTTTAAAAGGAAGAACTTTTTTACTCAAAAGACAGTGAAATAGATAGAACAAGCATGAACTTATATAGGTACCGAAAAACTGTTGTGCTCAAGGCAGCGAACTGACTGTTGGAATTGGCAAATTCCGTCCTATGGAGCATCTAGTTCGCATTCGACTTTATTTCGTGAAGATATTCAGTATTCGTCTTCGTCGTTGTATTCGTTTTCATTTTAGTTGCTGTCTTCGTATACGTCGTCATATTTTTCTTCGCATCAATCTTCGGCTATGTCGTCGTCGTATTCATCCTAGTATTCATCTCCGTATTCATTTTCGTATTCGTTTTAGTCTCTGATTTTGTATTCGTGTTCATATTTGTCTTCGTATTCATCTCCGCAGTCGTGTTGTCTTCGCCTTTATTCGTCTTGTAGTGGTATTCGTATTTGTATGCGCCTTCATATAAATAAGATAGTTTTGTCCCTACGATTGCAGCTG